GTGTATGGCTGCACTTGCGACACAAGGGCGTTCAATGGACGGAGACCCGAGGTGAAAGAGCGCATGATGATGGTATGTGGAGGTATTTTGAAGCTGACGGAGAAAGAAGATCAAAGATAGTAGAGATATTTGCAACTCAAAGAGAAACTCGGGGAGATGGAAAGAAAAAAAAAGAAACAGGTGAAATGACGAGGCTCGGTCAGCGATAGGCGATAGACGGAAATTTAGAATTTCCGGGGTTGGCCTCCGCGGAGAGAAGGCCGCAGTTCTCCTTCACCTTTTTTTTTCCCCCTTGAGATATCTCTATTTACTCACTTTCTCTTGGTTTTACAGTTGTCTTCAAAATGGCCGCAATGAGGGCTCGGCACAAGATTCGAGCTCCCCGAAGGGTTCGTTGACACCGCGGGGTTAAAACTATGAAGCTATCCACTCACTATACTTCTAGGGAGTCTCCCATGCCAATACTGAAGATTTCGATTCCATATGGACAGTCCTCTCATCATCCTTGACTGAAATTAATACTAAAAATGCCTCAACCCTGGCATTCGAAGAGATCTACCGTCACGCCTACAAGATCGTGTTGATGATGCGAGCTCCCGATCTTTATGAGCAAGTCAAACAATTGGAGCAAGACTGGCTGAAAACCAATGTCCGAACCCTGATTGTCGATTCAATTTCTTCGAGCCTAGTGCGTGCGCAAAAATCCACCGATGCGCAGGACCAGTCAAGTGAGAGGAGGGAAGCGGGGGGAGAAGTTTCTCACAGTCCTGAAGGATGCTTGGGAAGATCATCAGTTGGGCATGGGCATGGTTACCGATGTTCTGATGTATATGGTGAGTTTGTTACGTTCCAAGGTATTGTTATATTGTTATAATGCTCTAACTGTTTACTCAGGACCGTATGGTAGCAAGCCGTACCCACCCACCCATCTACGTTGCCTGCATGGCTCTATTCCGTGACCATATCCTACGAGCTCCCGTCCGTGCCGGCTCTGCTTTGACTGTTATGGATGTGCTCGAATCCACAATACTATTTATGGTCCAACTGGAACGTTCTGGGCACATTATTGAGCGGCCGCTCATTCGGCACTGCATCCAAATGTTGGAGGGCCTCTACGAAACAGCCACAGAGGAGGAGAGCTCAAAGCTTTATCTTACTGAGTTTGAACCAGCCTTTCTCAAAACGAGTAAGGAGTTCTACCAGGCAGAAGGGCAACGGCTGTTGGAAATGGGGGATGCTGCCACGTTTTGCCGACTCGCAACCCAGCGGATCACTGAAGAGGAGGAGCGATGCCGTTATATGTTGTCGGTCACGACAGAACCGAAGGTCCTTGAGTTGCTTGACGAGCAGCTAATCCGGAACAATATTGAAGAAGTCGTCAATCTCGAAGGAACCGGTGTCCGGCGCATGCTAGACCACGATCAGTTGGATGGGCTACGGAATGTTTACATGCTAAATAAAAGGGTCGACAAGAAGAAGGGGGCTTTGACAAACATGGTCAACAAGCGGATTGTGGAAATGGGCAAAGAGATCAATACTTCGTCTATACTTTTACCACAAGCCCCAGCCCCATCGGCAGAGAAAGATGGCGAAAAAGAGAAAAGGCCCGAAAAGGGAAAAGACAAAGAAAGGCCCCAGAATCAGCAAACAGTGTCAGCAATCCGCTGGGTCGATGACATTCTCAGCCTGAAGCGGAAATTCGATGACATTTGGGAGAATGCCTTCGCCTCCGACCAGGGCATACAGAGCTCAATTGGGGCTAGCTTCGCCAACTTCATCAACTTGAACTCGCGAAACTCGGAGTATCTGTCTCTCTTTTTTGATGAAAACTTGAAGAAGGGCATTAAGGGAAAGACAGAAACCGAGGTAGACGTTCTTCTGGACAACGGGATCACACTGCTGCGCTACATCAAGGACAAGGATCTATTTGAGACCTATTATAAGAAGCATCTATCACGCCGTCTTTTGATGAAACGTTCTGTCAGCATGGATGCAGAGAGACAAATGATTTCCAAAATGAAGCTGGAGGTCGGCAATCAGTTTACTCAACGCATTGAATCCATGTTCAAGGACATGACCATCTCCGAAGATCTTACCACCAACTACAAGGAGCACATTGCGCGCAGTGGTGATCCCGACCAGAAACCCGTGGACCTAGAGATCAACGTTCTCACCAGTACCATGTGGCCGATGGAAATAATGGCAAGCAAAGAGGGAGTAGTCCAGTTGCCTTGCATTTTCCCACGGGAGATTGATACACTGAAGCAAAGCTTTGAGAGGTTTTATCTCGACAAGCATAGCGGCCGCAAACTGTCGTGGCAAGCCAGCATGGGCACTGGCGATCTTCGAGCCACTTTCGTACGCTCCAGTGGAAAAGTCCAGCGATATGAACTCAACGTCTCAACATATGCCATGATCATCCTGCTATTATTCAACGACGTCGCAGACGGCGAAGCTCTCACATATGACGAAATTAAAACTCGCACAAGGATCCAAGATCACGACTTAATCCGCAACTTGCAATCGCTCGCCGTTGCCCCAAAGACTCGGGTTCTGAAGAAGGATCCTATGGGCAAGGAGGTAAAGCCCACCGACCGCTTCCTTTTCAACCATGATTTCCACAGCCCCTTTGTGAAAGTGCGTATCGGAGTTGTCAGCGGCGGTGCGAACAAGGTCGAGAATCAAGATCAACGCAAGGTCACTGAAAAGAAGATGAATGACGAGCGCAACGGTACTATCGAAGCTGCCGTCGTCCGTATTATGAAGTATGTTTTTGTTACTGTCTCACCATAAATGCCTCGTATATGATCTGACAAAACTAACCTCTGCCCTCTGCCAGACAACGCAAAACCCTCACTCATTCTCAATTAATGACTGAAACCCTTTCGCAACTTTCCGCTCGCTTTGTTCCAGATGTGAACATGATCAAGCGTCGCATCGAGAGTCTGATTGACCGCGAATACCTGGAGCGAGTCTCTGAGGAGCCGCCCACCTACGGGTATGTCGCATAAAGTCAGACCATCTTAGTGATCATAGCAAGCTGCCTTCTATCTGATCTACTCCTTTGCTCTGGTTTCTTATGATTTTATGATCTGGGATCTGCTTGCATTTCAGTGTTTGTGTTTCTTTTTTTCCCTCTTCTTCTTCGGCGCGTTTCTCTGAGCTTAGCGATTGGCGTCTTTTAAGGGATTGAAATGAAATTCATAGAAAAAGCCATCTGGTTTGATGTGTTGATGTTTACCGACAGCTAGGACAATGGAAATTACCTTGGTAGGATTTTCATATAATATCTCTCGTCTCTCAATCGCCGGTCTATAGATCATAGAGAAATAAGACGATAGATGGATATATCATAAAAGAAACACCCCCAATAAACGCCACTCCGCTATGATAAAGTCGAATATCAAACTAGAATCCCAAAGAAAAGAGACTCAAAAAGAAAATCACAATAATTCCACCTCCCCTCTCCCCCAAGCCCCCTTAACCCCTTCCCATCTCACCCCCAAACGTCCCCCATCCGCATCGTAACCCCCGTCTCATATTGCTCATCCTCCCCACCAACAACAACAGGAACCTCCGCCCCAAGACACCGAACAAAGACAACCTCCCGCAATTCCGGCCCCTGGATCATACTCGTTCCACCGGCATTATCATCTAACCGCCTCAGCTGCCGCGGGAACGCCCCCATAAACGACCCCGCGTAGTGGCCCGCTAGGAGCGTCTGATGTGCATGCAGGAAGGATGATTCCGGCTCCGACAGCGGGGCGAGATCAGTCAACTCTGATATATCCGGTACCGAGTCCTCGGGCTGCTGGTTCGGGTTCTGCGAGGAGGCGGTTGATTGTGTTTGCGAGGCGAGGGGGTTTTTGTTGCGCGAGGCGAGCAGGACTAGATAGTGCATGCTGTATTTTGTTATCTTAGCTAGTCGGGCTCGTAAAAGACTGCGCACTATGTATTGGCTGCGGGCAAGGTCGGTTTGGAGGATTGAGAGGCGGAGGTTGAGGTTGGGGTTGTGCGTGTTTGCGGTTGTTGAGAGGGTTGTGTCTGACGACGCGGCGAGATCTTCGATTGTTTCGATCTGTAGATTTCGGATTGCATTAGCAAGTTGTTTTTTTTTTTTTTTTTTGAGGGAGCATTGCTGTATAGCTGGTGTGTACCTGTATCCGCACGCGGTCCATTATACGCTCCATCAGTGGCGCCGGCCATGGTAGTACCTCCGACACAGCACGTTCGGCTACCCAAAATCGCGTGAGTAGCTGGTGGTCCAGCGCTGCAGACTCCGGACTGGCGCCTGGACCACGGTCCACTGATGCGAGAATGTCGTCGATATCCATTTGGAGGTTGTCGCATTGAGGAAAATGCAGGGTGGAGCGGGATATAGGGCGGAGATGGGGTGCCTGGGGCACTCATCCGCTCTATCAAGGAAATCAATCTGAATACCTTCGTACGGAGTACACCGGTGGATGTTCGCGAATCTGTGAGGCTGGTTTATAATTGAGAACCCAACTGATCCAATTTCAACCCATTTATCAATTGGGCCTTATCTACTGAAACCGACAAATTACACGATATCCCAATATGAATCAATTAGAGCTAGTCAAGTTGAATTAGGGATCATTTTATTCAAATCCATTCGGCCGTTAAAGATATATCATCAAGAGAGAAACAATGTGCTGGAAACGCCAGAACTTCATAAACCCTAAGTTCCATTCTTTCCGGGGATCTCAGGCTGCAGACCAAATGCTCGAATTTTAGCTGAACTTCAGTTAAATGGGAGATGGGGAACATGAGGAAGCATTAAGTAGTAAAAGAGAATAAGATAAAACCACCCATGCGGGTATGCGACCAAATAATAATAATAAAAAATAAAATAAAAAAGACCATGTTTCGCAGTTAACAACGCCATAAACCATTTAACTTCCGGCATTTATTGAGAGGCATGCAATATCGGAAGACCTTCAAAGCCATGGTCATTAAGCTTTGGAAAAGATGCGGAAAGTTCAGTCCTTGTTGCCATTGGGCGGCGGGCCAGGAGGTGGCGCATATCCGTGGGCACCGTACGCATTCGGAGGCTGCTGCAACTCGATGCCTTGCTGCTGTGGTGGTGGTGCGCTTTGCGCACCAAAGTAGCCATGATGCTGAGGGTTCGGGCTGTATTGTGGGGGCGCATTTTGCTGGTAGTAAGGGTCACCATAGGGAGGTTGTTGGTAGATGGGTTGGTTTGGCGGAGGAGGACCCGGGGGAGGAGCCATCCACCCGGTTCCTGTGATAGGGCGTTGGCCATGAGTTCGGCGGCGGCGTGCGTTGAAGCATCTAGAACAAGGTTTAGGATCGAGAGAGATCGCATGGAAGAGAAGGTAGACAAGGTAGGACTCACGCGAAACTGAAGAAAAGTAGGAAGGCTATACCAACGATCACGGCGAACGCTACCCAGCGACCCCAAGAGTCCCAAGTAGAATAGCAGTTATCACTTCCATAGTAACTAGAGGGATCAGTGAAATGTCTCTGGACAAGTTATCATTGTACTTACCAGTATCGAGGGTATATGACTGGCATGTTGAGGTTTATTATGAGAAGAGATAAAAAGTGAAGAATCCGAAATCCGAGAGAGAATGTGAGATGTTCGACGTCAATGGGGAAGGGCTGGTGTGAAAGCGGTGGGTCCTTGGCACTTTAGGCTGCAGTTTCGGGAAGGGAAGGTACTGTGACTTGTCTGGCCGCCTTATTTTGTATGATGATGATGGTATTAGTACTTGATATTGAAAATCAAGAAAATTGGACTCTGTAGAAGAAAGGAAATAGTTAACTACAAAGAGTAAAAGAGTAAAAGAGAAAAAGAAGAAAAAGAAGAAGCAAAATGAAAGAATTTCCAATCGAAAAATGGGGGAGACTGGGTGGCGCAGTTGGGGCGCGCAGTTAGGGCGCAGGGCTGACGAGTTACCTCGGCAGGAGTATACTACTCTGTACGTATATTAGGATTCTTATTCTTATATTCTCATATTCTTCTATTCTCCTATTGAATATCAAATATTAAATAAATACACACATGGCTGTGCATCTTGGGTTTAATTCTCTATAATTTTATATGTACCTCTATTGTACTGCTCAAGCTTATACACAATCGATCAATCTAGATCGATGTTCCAATGCAATCTTATATACTAACATCAGCATTTATGAATATGCAAAAAAAAAAAAAAAAAAAATCCATCATTTCAACTAACCGGTGGAATGGATGGCGGTACAGCCGGCAACGCGGTGATACTCGACCCGAGTTCACTTTTCAAATCCAAACTCGCCTCTCTTACACCTACCTCATTAGCCTCCTCATGGGTCATATGTACCGATAGAACATGGATCCGAGGTGACATGTCTGGTTTCGTTTTGAACGAATATGTAGGTAATACGTCGAATGTCTCCTGTACCCAGGACATCTGCCTGTCCAGGTCCGGCCCGGAGACGCTGCCGTTGCCCTTATTTTCTAAAGTAGTAGAGGACTTGGTTCGGAAGATGCTGCTGGGCCACTCTTTCGTCTTGGCGATCGGGAGTGTACAGCACGCGTTCTTGGATACGCTTTCCCAGGCCTCGACCACGCGATCCGTCTTGAGGAACTGGGATATCTGTTCCTTCATGGTTTCTCGGCCATTCGTGAGTTGGTTGTGGGCTTCCTGTCGCGCTTGTGTGGGTGATTTGGCTGGGGATTGTCCGGTTCGAGGGCGTGGGGTGGTACAGAATGCCCGGAGTTGTTCTATGGAGATGTTGCGGGAGAGTCGTGAGGGTTGGGATGGTGCTGTTTTCGGTCGACCTTGGTCCAAGTCGATTTTCTCGCTAGCAGATCGTTTTGGTAGGAAGGGCCTGGAGAGCTTGCGCTTGAGCCTTCCGGATGTCGATGGAAGGGGAGGTGGTGGTTCATTGCTGGCGCCTGCGCTAGCTTCTGTTATAAGAGCACTGCATGATCTGGCCCGACTCATGATCCTGCGCCGAAGGCCCTCGCTCGGGATGGGTTGGTCAGCCGGGGTGCCGGTTCCATCTTTAACTGCAGCAGGAGGGCGGCTCTGAAACTGCTTGGAAGCTGCTGATGTCCTCTTTGGTTTCGACAATGGATCGCGAGGAAGAGGTTTTTCTGATGCCGGCCGTTCTCTATCAAATAGTCTTTTTTTGACTGACTTGTTTTGATTTGCAGTCTTGGTGGTCTGTTTAATAAACGATCGCTGTGTGATAGTTAGCTGGAATTGAACCCCTTCTCCCCCCCCAGATCAAGACCGGTGACCTCACCACATCCTTTCTACTCGCTATCCCCACCCGTCGTTGCATTTGTGTAGTCGCCAAGCCAAGTTGGGCCAGAGCCTTTTGAAGAGCAGTGCCCTGTCGACGAAGTTTTGAGAGAGCGACAAGCCAGCCCTCCATATTATCCACCATGGCCTGATGAAAAGCTTTGAGGCTCTCGGACTTGAAGCAACCCTCGTCTGTAAGTTTGCGGAAGTAGAACCACAGTGCACCCAAGGCCTCCTTTGCCTTTTGTAGATCCTTGAGTGAGTCTGTGATGGCAAGAGTGAATCGGTCAATGGAATGTTCGATCTGATCGTTATAGGCGACAACCGAGAGCCGGAAATTCCGGTCTTCCAACATTCCATCGAAGACATCGAGATTTCTCAGCGGTAGATTGAGATATTGCATTCGAGTGCGAACGTCTAGTCGGACGATCAAAAAGTCTTCGGTCGTCCTTTCCAAAACGCCATCCAACTCATTCACATGTTTCTGTAGAATCTTCATCACCGAGAGTTCGGATTTTGCCAGGTTCTTGGATAGGAGGTGCACTCCGAAGACCATTTGGGAAACCAATTTCCAAAATGGATGATATCTGGATGGTTGGGTTAGTTTTTTTTCTCATACTCGACGGAGTGACGGAGTATATGAGTTTTCTTACTTTTCAGAGGCTCTTTGGCGCCATTTTCGCCCACATAACCGCTCGTATTCATCATTCTCTAATAGATCGCGGCGCCGTGTTTGTGCGTCAATGTCGACAACCCATTTAGTTAATGAACCATCGGTCGATTCCACGATTGATTCTTCAAATGCGCCCTGGAGTTGGGTAATGGGATGGGATGGATAAGGAGTGGATGTTCTTTGGACTGGTTTCTCGTTCTTAATATCCTCGGACGTGTGAAGGGGAGTCTCTGTAGAATCCATCATATCTATCACACGCTGTACGTCGACGTACCCCGACTATACATAGACAGTCTCCAAAAAAATCGAGGTTGCACACTTTGAATATATAAGAACTTCTAAGTTGCAAATCAGACAATTAAAAAAAAATAAAAAATGAGGCTTTGATATAGTTGCCCCCCTATCCATTTATAAAATCACAATCGCAACCAGCCTAAAGTGGCTTTGGTCATGGTGAAGATGGGCTGGACTGGAGATGGCTGGTGTTGGGATCATGCAAGGTACTACTTTTTATATCGGATCAGAAGAGATAGAAAAATCAATAGAAGTGGATCTGACTTACTCTGAATACTCTGATGTCTGATGTTTGATATGCTTGGAGATAGTTCCAGTGAAACACAACCCCTTTCAATATAAAGAACGTGTGTGTGTGTGTGTGTGTGTGTGTGTGTGTGTGTGTGTATTGGAGAGATGGAGAGGAAATGAGTTCGTACAATAATTTTATTCTCTTGTCCTCTTATTATGGGGCTGTTATTACGTGTAGCCAGGGGTCAACACCCGTCTTTGTTCGGCATATTTCCACTTATTCCCACTTTTCCCACTTATTCCCATTTATTCCCATTTATTCCCACTTGACACACCAATTCAACCAATGATCATCGATCAAAAAATATCGTGGAAATAGTCCAAATGAATCCAATTGGGGCTGGGACGATCGGGGAGTCTCAGACCTCACTTAATTTCGGATCAATGGTTATTCCGGTTTTAGTTCTCTCCCTATATTCTCCCTCTAGGGCTATCTACAACATCGACACATCCACATCCTTCAAATATTGGTGTGAAACGTGGCAAAGATAATCCGAGACTTGGGTACATATGCATGAGGTGGCTGAGATGACGGTACGGCAGTTCATAATACCCTATAACCTCTTAGTTAGTATTATTTAGTTCTAAAGAAAGAAAAGAGGGAATAGGAAATGATATGCAAGAATCTTAACCATTCCAGGTGAGATCGGCAACTCTACAGAGTACTAGAAGCAGTCCATTTGAAAACCCGATGCCTATGGAGTAACTATACAACAACTATCTAATGCCTCAGGCTTCCACGCATCCCGAGTGGCCTTATATATATAGTTCAAATAAAAACATCCCACATACACCATCTGATATAATAACTATATATATATATATATATATATTACAGAGTAACTAGTTACTCTGTAATATATGGCTATGTGCATTACTATCATGCTTTGTTTGGGTTGCTTAGTCATCTAGGTTGTTTATGTTGGGGTATTCCTCCACTTCTCTTCACCCCTCATCTTCGTTTTGAATTGACTGCACTTCTTTGTGAACGTGCCAGGATAAGCGTCTGGTTCGTGTTTGCAATTTATTTTTCGAGTCTATCAACTGGCCCTGGTTTGGGCTTATATCCAAGAATCTACTTAGGAACCACAGCCGCAAGCTATATAAACATCAACTATTGTGACTACAAATAGTAGTTACTCCATTCTTTATCAAGTACATCGGCTCTTTCATCCTTATACTATGCTAATCGAGGCCTGTTCCTATTTCCCTGGAGTGTCGGCAACACCATGTTTATATTAACGCTATTAATGACCATTTCATAAAACACCGTACACCTACAACATATGGATAAAGATAGTATGTATAATATCTTCTTCCCAAAAAAGAAAAAAAAATCCAAAAAATCCAAAAAATCCAAAAACACCCAAACATAGCACGTCATAATAGTTTTCTTTGCCAAAGCCGACAATCCTGGTCTCGTTGGAAGCCTATAGCTCTTGGCACCAATTGAGATCCCTGTTCTTTTTTGCGAGACACAGGTTTACAGGGTGCAACATACAATCTAGCACCGTCGATCTTTCCCCTCAATACCGCAACTCCCGGTCGAATGAATGAGCCTCCAACAACTTGAGGTGGAGATTTTTATTCTTTTCCCCTCGTAAAACGATGCTACCTTCCCCCGGAACTCCAACGGAGATCGAATGCCCCGTTTATATTCTATACATTTCACCTTTTCTCTAATCATCGCATGAACTGCTTATCATATACGATTACTACCTAGTTAGGTACACTAGGTAGTTTATTTCCCCTCTTCTGGGACTATAAGTATCCCCCCGCAAGCCCCCCTCCCCCAATAATCCATACTTGTAACGGTCCCCGAATAGCCCATTATGCATATCTCCCACTGGATTCCATTACTGCCTGTTGCAACTGCACTGGCGGTGCCATCGGATGATAGCCTAGAAGCCTTCTTCCGTCGCCAGCTGCCCGAACACCCAACAGATGTCAAGACTATAAAGACGGCCAATAATGTCACCATTCGCTATAAAGAGCCTGGCAAAGAGGGTGTTTGTGAAACTACC